CTTCCCTTTCCCACGGAGCTGTGGGATGAGACAAGACTCCAGTTTAGCTCAGTTCACTGCCCCTTGATGCCACTGGGCATGACTGCTTGCAGGATCAAGCCCACGACCACGAGAAGCAGCTGTTGGGAGTCTGGAGTGGCTTTTCCCCCCAAAATCAAGGCCGTGCCGCTGTGCTGGCCGGAGGAAAGGAGTGTGAGCAGCCAGAGGTGGGACAAGGGTGGAGGCAGCGGCTGCTCTCAGCTCCTTGGGAGGAGCCATCTGGGAGCGGTAGTAACTCCAACCCTGCTGAATGTGCAAATTTTGGGCTGCGTGGAGGCTGTTGGAGTCGGGGACCGCTAGATGGTGATGTCTGCACGTGCTCTGTCAGAACTTTCCAGCTTTCTGGGCTGCTCAGTGCCCAAATCCCGCTTTGGAGAGGGACACTTCCCCCGTGGAGGTTTCCAGGGAGCAGGGACACGCAGCAACCCACCCCACAGACACAGCTCCTGCAGCAACACTTCGTCCCAGGGTTCTTTTAAATGCTACTTTTATTCCTGAGGTGCTGATGTGCTCCCTCTTCTTGGAGCCCAGGAATGCATCAACTCCTTTTGTAAATGATTTCTGTAAATAAACCCAAAATGAGTGAATGCATCTCCTGATGCAGCCAGGAGATAGTTTAAGGTGCATTTTGTGCCATCCATACCCCCATTTTCTGAAGTGAAACACATCTCCCCACTGGTTCTAGGGAAGTTGGTCAATGCTGGGACAGAGTTTCTCCCATCCCAATGGAAATCCACTTCCCAGACCAGAACTGGAAGGACATGGCTGTGGATGGTGAATATATGGGCACTTTGGGATCTTTGTTCAGGATCTGGAGCATCTGCTGGGCAGGAAGATTAAGACTTGGGAAAGATGAGGAGAAAGAGCTGGAATTAAAAACAAAAAGCTGACATTTCCCAGGGCACAAAATCCCAGAATAATTCAGCTTGGAAAGGACCTCAGGAGGTCTCTAGTCCAACTTCTTGCTCAAAGCTAGGTCAGGTGTGAGATGAAGCTGAGTTGCTCTGGGATTTATCCATTATGGGATCTCCGGGGCTGTAAAGGAGTCAGGATTAGTCTGGGATGAAAGTGTCACCACTAGGGGAAAGCTGGGACATCCAGCCTACATCTGGACAAAAAGGCCCTGGTTTGGGAAGCAGTTTTGGGGTGAGATTCTCTAAGGTCACCAAATCCTTTGTGGATACGAGAGTTCTCAGTGTTGTAAACTGGCCTTTGGGTGAGACATTCAAAGCTGCAGCCAAGAGACTCCCTGTAAACCCTTGCTGGAATTTGGGCTCCCCTTCCTCAAACATATCTGCTGAGAGAATTGGGATTGTTCAGCCTGGAGAAGAGAAGCTTTGGGGTGATCTAATTGTGGCCTCCCAGTGCCTGAAGGGAGGCAACAAGAAACATGGAGAGAGACTATTTCCAAGGGCCTGGAGTGACAGGACAAGAGGGAATGGCTTCCCACTGCCAGAGAGCAGGGTTAGATGGGATATTGGGAAGGAATCCTTCCCTGGGAGGGTGGGGAGGCCCTGGCATGGGTTGCCCAGAGAAGCTGTGGCTGCCCCAGCCCTGGAAGTGTCCAAGGCCAGGTTGGACAAGGCTTGGAGCAACCTGGGCTGGTGGAAGGTGTCCCTGCCCATGGCAGGGGGCAGCACTGGATGGTTTTTAGGGTCTCTTCCAAGCCAAACCATCCTGGGATTCTGTGATTTTTCCCATTGTCACGAGGAGGCTTCTGGGTCTCTGCAGCTCCTGCTTGGCCCGCGTGTGTCTGTGCAGAGGATGTCCCACATGTCTGTGCACGGGGTGTCACGTGTGTCTGTGCAGAGGGTGCCCCACATGTCTGTGCACGGGGTGTCACGTGTGTCTGTGCAGAGGGTGTCACGTGTATCTGTGCAGAGGGTGTCACACATGTCTGTGCATGAGGTGTCACACATCTGTGCATGGGGTGTCACACATGTCTGTGCAGAGGGTGTCACGTGTGTCTGTGCACAGGGTGTCACACATCTGTGCATGGGGTGTCACACATCTGTCTATGGGGTGTCTCATGTGTCTGTGCACAGGGTGTCACGTGTGTCTGTGCATGGGGTGTCACACATGTCTGTGCAGAGGGTGCAGCGTGGAGGGAGGTAATGGGTGATGAATGGCCATGGAAAGGGAATTTAATCCTCCTTGGGCTCAGCATCCCACCCTGCCAGAGGGGAGGGAGTTTCACTGCACTACTGTGGCTACAGTCCTTTAGATCCTGAGATGGAAGGAGCGGAGGAAAGGCAAAGGAGTCACTATTATTATTATTAATAACCTCTTTTTGGCAGGTCTCTCTGCACTCACTGCCAGCAGGCAGAGGAGCTTTCCAACACTTTCTTGTTACAGAGGACACGGCCACTGTGGATAATCTGGGCTCTGACCTGGTCATGTTGGAGAACCACTTGACCTCAGAGCCACTGGAGGTGCCAAGTCTGGCTGCTGTGTCTCCCTGGCTGCCCTTTCACTGTCATTCCCAAGGCCTGAAATCTCCCTGGAGAGCCGGTCCCTGCTGCTGGCAACACATCCTGCTCCATTCAAATATTGCCCAGGCCCCTCCTCGGAGTACAAAAGTGACACCCAGGACCTCAACTTCAGCCTGGGCTCCACAGCCAGAGGGGTTCACCTGCCCAGCAAGGGGAAGCTGGAAGCCTTAGGACACAGGGAGGTAAGGGGAGGTTCTGAGGTCTTTTTCCTTGGAGGAAGCCTAGAAATCTCTGGAAACCAGCAGATGAGTTCAAAGGCTCCTGCATGCCTGGACTGGTGCGTGTCAGGTGACGAGGACACGATGTGAACACCAGGCAAGTGGGTTCCCACCCACATGGGGTAACCATGGAGGAGTCTCTGGTGGTGAGGGACTTGTTGCCCCCCTAGCAGTAAAATCCTCCTCCCCTGTCTCAGCAGGGTCTTGTACCTGATTTTTGTACCCCCAAGTGCCACAGAGGCATCATGCTCTGATGGGGGGTTGTGCCCAACGAAGTCAATCCAGATTCTCACTTTTTCCCTTTTTCCAGAGGTTCTTGGTTGCAAGAGCAGAGGCCAAGCTCTTCTCTTACCACATGGGACACAGGAGTTGACTTTAGCTTCTTTGGCTATTGATAAACTGCAGGGAATTGTCCTCCCTGCCAGAAACCCAGCCAGCACTCAGCAAAAAGTGGGGATGGATCCCCATGGCATAACTTGTTCAGCTCTGGGACTGCTGGGATCTCTGCTCCCTTTGAGCCCTGGGAGGGTAGGACAAGGCTCAGTCACAGCTCTGACCACCCTCCTCCTCTTCAGCCCCTGGGAAAAGTGATTCGGGCAGCTTCAATTCTGTAGATTTGAATCCTCCTCCTCCAAATTTTTGGGAAGTGGGTGGAGTTGGCAGCTCTGCCCTGGAGAACTGATTCAGATTATCAGGTGAGCTGCCTCAGCTCTGTGGGACAGAGAGGGGAGAGCCCCCCTTTACCGGGTTATTTGTGCCTTTTGTAACGACCCATACAAAAACACGGGGGCCCCAAGATTGTATTTCCAGGAATGTTTTAGATCTGGTTGGACACCCAAAGGCACCTGCAGAGCCGACCCCCTCCCTGCAGAGACACTGCTGGAACTGCCCCGAGCAGCCGGAGCCCTCGGGCCCCGGGTCTGTGCAGAGCCGCGGGGCTGCAGCCGCTGCCGAGCGGGGCCGGGCTGTTCCACAGCCCAACATCGCCCTCTTTTGTCCTCTGGCTGCGGGAGCGCAGGGACTGCACAGCCCGGATGGATGGATTGGGGCTCCCTCGGGGGTGGCAGAAAGGAGCCTCGCAAAATTCAGCAAGAGCTGTTTCCCCGTGTGCTTTCCTTTGTAGGCACTGCCCACATCTCAGCCAGGAACAAAACCACAGAATCCCAGGATGGCTTGGGCTGGAAGGGATCTTAAGGGCCATCCAGTGCCACCCCCTGCCATGGGCAGGGACACCTTCCACCAGCCCAGGTTGCTCCAAGCCCCATCCAACCTGGCCTTGGACACTTGCAGGGATCCAGGGGCAGCCACAGCTTCTCTGAGAAATCCATTCCAGCCCCTCACCACTCTCACAGGGAAGGATTCCTTCCCAATATCCCATCTAACCCTGCCCTCTGGCAGTTTGAAGTCATTCCCCCTTGTCCCATCACTCCAGGCCCTTGTAAACAGTCTCTCTCCATCCTTCTTGTCCCCCCCCGAGCAGTGGGATTGGGTGAAAACTGGAAAACTCATGAGTTGAGAGAAACTTTATCAGAGAAAGCAACAGCCGTGCACACAAGTAAAGCAAAATAAAGAATTCGTTCCCTGCTTCCCATGGGAGCTCCCCTGTGGGCTCTGCTCAGGTGAGACCCCCCTGCAGAGCTGCTCCAGCTCTGGGGAACAGCACAGGGAGGACATGGAGCTGCTGGAGAGAGTCCAGGGGAGGCACCAAGATGGTCAGAGGGATGGAGCAGCTCTGCTGGGAGGAAAGGCTGGGACAGGTGGGATTGTTCAGCCTGGGGAAGAGAAGCTTTGGGGTGACCTGACTGTGGCCTTCCAGGACCTGAAGGGGCTGCAAGAAACATGGAGAGAGACTGTTTACAAGGGATGGAGGGACAAGGGAGAATGGCTTCCCACTGCCAGAGGGCAGGATTAGATGGGATACTGGGAAGGAATCCTTCCCTGGGAGGGTGGGAAGGGGCTGGAATGGATTTTCCAGAGAAGCTGTGGCTGCCCCATCCCAGGAAGCGTCCAAGGCCAGGTTGGAGCAACCTGGGCTACTGGAAGGTGTCCCTGCCCATGGCAGCGGGTGTTGTTTAATGTCCCTTCCCACCCAACCCACCCCATTATTCAGTGAAATTCGGTTTAAAGTCCGGAAAAGGCGCTTTCGGGGCCGTTTCCCGCCGTCTCCCTCAGCGCCGCCCCACGTGACCCTCCCGCAGTCCCCGTTCGGGTCGGGCCGCGCCGGAAGCGGAAGCGGCGGCCCCGGCCCGTCATGGCGGCGCCCAGCGCGGAGCGGGAGCGGCGGCGCTTCGGGCAGCGCCTCCTCACAGACCCCGCGCGGCTCTTCCAGCACAACGCCTGGTGCGTGCGGGGCGCCCGGGGCGAGCCTTCGCCGCTCCCGCTTGGCGGTGCCTGTGGCCGAGCCCTGCGTGACGGCCCAGCCCCGACTTGCCCGCGGGGACCCGACCCCGGTGTCCGCGCTCGCCCCCGGAGCGGGTTGGGGGGCTGTGGGCGTGGGGCTGGCGCCGGACAGCGAGGGAAGGTCGGGCGGGAAGCGGCGCCCCCGGGCTGGGCGCTGGCGGAGGGGCGGGAGGGCCGTGCCCTGTGCGGGCGGTGCTCGGGGGTCCTGAGCCTTCGTGACTGGTCCCCCGGGGGTCCTGAGCCTTTGGGACTGATCTCTGGGGGTCCTGAGCCATTATCGACTAATCCTGCGAGGGTCTTGACCCTTTGGGACCGATCCGCGGGAGGTCCTGAGCCTTCTTGACTGATCCCTGGGGGGTCTTGAGCCTTCCGGGCTGATCCACAGGGGATCCCGAGCCTTGGGAACCGGTCCCCAGGAGGTCCTGAGCCTTCGGGGCTGATCCCCAGGAGGTCCTGAGCCTTCGGGGCTGATCCCCTGGGGGGTCCTGAGCCATTTTTGTCTGATCCCAGGAGGGTCCTGACCCTTTGGGACTGATTCCCTGGGGGTCCTGAGCCTTCTGGGATGATCCACGGAGGGTTCTGAGCCTTCTAACTGGTCCCTGGGGGGTCCTGACCCTTTGAAACTGGTCCCCAGGAGGGTGCTGAGCCATTCTGGGTTCCTCCCACAGCACTGGGGCTTCCTCAGGCTCCCCTGATTTGGGAGACGTGTTGTTTTGCTTTGCTGCAGTTGTTTAATTGCTGTAGTTAATAAAGTTGAATCAGTTGTGGGGTTGTGGGTGTGTGCTTGGAACAGGAGCTCTTTATTTGGGTACAGCAGCTGTTTTAAGCACCCAAATTGCCTAATTTGCTGGGAACTGAAGGTATTTTGCATTTTTGAAGTAAATAGATCCACTTTTGGTCTCTGGCTGTCATACCCTGTGAAGAACTGGGTGTGTTTCACTTGTAATAAGGTAATATTTACGTGTATCAGCCTGTCATTCCTTTTGGGACTGTTCTGTACCAAAGGTACATTACAAAAGCATATCCTCAATTTTCCCGTGGAAACTTTTAGTAATCCAGCTTTTTTTTTAACAGTTAAGATTTTGTTTTGTGAGTTAAAAGGCTGATTTCTCCTGAGGCCAGAACTGGGCTTATTGCTCCTTGTATTCTGCTTTCCTTTCACTTGTTTTAATGAAAAAAAGCCAAATGAATCACTTTAATGAGTGCACAGCTGTGTGTGTGCACTGAAGTTATTAATAATTCTTAATTCTTTAAAGCTTCCTGCATATTTTCCTCATAACTGGATTTAATTTAACCTTCCAAATAACCCCACTGCCCTTTTTGTTTTAAATTGAAAACCAATTTAGTTTTGTGAGTGCACTGGTGGTTTTATAGGAAGGATTATTCCCTCTGAATTTGGCTGAGTGTCCAAGAGGGAAAAGGATCAGGGGCAGATTTAGGATCCCTTCCTTTACAATTCCATGAGTGCAGCTCCTTCAGGCCCAGGAGCCTCACGTGCTGGCAGCTATTGTGCTGGAATTGGGATCACACCTCCCTCCCTCTCTCAGTTTTTCTCTCTCTGCCCATTTTACAGCTCTAGTTCATCTCCTTTTTCCCCACAGGGATAATGTGGAATGGTCAGAAGAGCAGGAATCCAGTGCCAGGAGTAAAGTTCAAGAGAACAGCTCCCAGCTCTTGCCACAGGATAAACAAGGTACTGTTGGAGAGTCTCCTCTGCCCGTCTTGGCCTGTGCCCCAGGAGTGGAACAGTGGCCAGAGCCACCTCAGCAGCAGCATGAATCCCTCCCTGCCCCCTCCCCAGTCACTCAGAATGCTTTACCTACTTGTTGGTAATGGGAAATGGAGGAGGAGGAACCTTCCTGTTCTTAAATTCCCTCTCTGTGACTCCTCCACCTTCTCCAGAGACTCATCCTGCTGGAACAGGCGTGGTCTTGGTTGGGAGGAGTCAGCTTGGGTTGAGCTTCTTTGTGGTGTTGTGTGTGTTTAAATACTTGTTACTGTTCCTTGTCAACAAACCTCTTTGAGTGTAGAGTTATTGTGCTTTCTGTTAACTTCCAACAGTCAGTCTCTTTTTGCTGTGGAGTGATCCTAATTCAAGCTCAGTTCTTCTCCTTAAGAGGGGCTGATAAAGTAGTGTCCAAATCTGTCTCTACAGAGTTAACAAGCAGCATGAGAATGATTAAATCATAGAGTCAGAAAAAAATTATTTTCTCCTGAAAGTGCTTATCATCAGATAGACAGCAAAGGGATTCCCAAATTTTTATTTTACTTGGCTCAAGGGATATTTATACATCCAAAATGTGGAGCTTACCTGTGTCTGAATCAAGCTCAAGGTTCACAGCTGTGTCACTCTCCACTCTGTCAGAGACCATCCAGTCCCTCAAATGATGGTGAAATGGTTCTTTGGTGTGATAAGAAACTTGACTGATGATGATCTTGCCGAGCCCTAGGATGGATCTGCTCCCTTTGTTCCCATCAAATGGAGTGTGGCACCCTTAAGATAAAGCTCAGCACTTCTGGAGCTATTGAGACACTTCCATATAGCTCCCAGTTGTGCTCACAATAGCAAATCTAATTATCCCAAAGAACAACCCTCCTCATTTCTTGGACTCCCAGAAGTATCCAGCAGTTCCCATTGTGATGCCCATTGTGTTGGGTTCAGTTTCAAATCTGGTTAGCATTAAAGGGTGCTGTCTGTCATGCTTTGAGAACCTATATACAACCAGGAAACTGGGGAGCAATTTGCTGTTGGGGCACTTTGTCAGGGCTCCATGATGTATTTCCCAGCCTGAACAATGCAGGCCAGTCAAATGTTGATGGTTGCTATTCACTGGGAAGCGTGTGGAGACAATGGGATGGCTGAAAAGTAGGGAAGGCAGCCCAGGAAAATGTGCCTGAAGGGTCTGGGAGTTTGAGAATCAGAATGTCCAAGCAGGAGAACAAAGGCAGGCTATTGGTCATGAGGGCTGTATTATTCTGTGCACTTCTTGGGGCTGTCAGGATCTGTTCTGAAGGAGCAGAGGAGTTCTGTGGGGTGTGTGGAGGATGTGTCTCCTGGCTGGGAGCAAAGAAAGAAGTGGAAGAGTTCCTTGGTTTCTTTTTGAGGCTCCATCATTAGCCCCTGTGAAATTCAGGGGGGGGGGGCCTGGTTCTCTTCCTGTCCTTTGTGAACAGTTCCTTTTGTTTGCCCTCCTTCTGCAGGGTGAAGGGCTTTACAAAGACAAACAGGAAAGTCAGGAGCCCTTGTCAGGAAGGTCTTTGGAGGAATCTGGCTCCCACCCCAACATCCCCATGAGATCATACCACAAAAAGGGGCTGAAACAAATGTGATGGGAACTCTTCTGGCTGAAAGTCAGCCTGAAAAATTAATATGGTCATTTATTTGCTTTCAGTCTATTCCTTGCATGATATTTGTCAGCCAGCCCTTGATTTCTTGTATTTAAATTGTTACTGATCCTTTATTCTGGTGCTTTGAAAACACCAGGCTCTGAATAAATGAGCTTTAAATAAAGCTTCCCCTCGTGTGGGTTGGGGTGTAACAGCTGTTCAACAGCATCTAACAGAATTCCACAGTAATTTAACACAGAAAGAGCACAAAGTCTTGTGGCAAAAATGTGGGTAATCCAAACTGGGTAATCCAAACTGGCTGGGCTGGAATTTTGTCCCAGCACCTCAGATAAGCATCCCATTCCAATCAGGCTGCCATGGGATTGTCAGGGACGGGCAGGATTCAGGACTTTGTGTTTTTGTGAGGTGAAAGAGCATTTCCAGCCCCAGCAGCCTCGTGTATCCCTACTAATACATGACAGTTCAGGAAGGAGTGTGCCAGACTGTGGATCAATAACACTTCTTCCAGCATCAGCAGTCCTGGAGCTCTTCCATGAAAATACTGCACTGACCTGGCCCTGCCCACTGTGACCTACAGTGGGATCATGGCACAAACTCACTGCCCTGCTCTGATGCCAGACATTAAAATTTCTTTTGGATTGGGGTTTAAGGACAGGGCTTCTTAAAAGGAGAAAATCCTTGTAGTTGAGGTAAAGAGATTATTTTTATATATAGCTCTTTGTGCTGCAGGGATAGATCCTACTAAAAATAGATATATGACTGACTTGTGCTTCTTTGTTAAAGCCATTTTTGTCTATATTTGGCTGAGGCTACATATTTTTCCAGGTGTTCTGGGTTCACTTGACTGTCTCCCTTCAGAGATCTTCTGAACAGTTTTATGCTTTTAAAAGTCTTAATAAATAAACTGCAGTTCAGGCAATGATACTGATCTCCAATCAGCTTTTTTCAGTAATGGACTTGTTGCTGTGCAGAGATGGTTGAGGAATTCCATGTTATTGGAATGCAGTTGGGATTTCTGGCCATGGATATTTCCAGGTGATTCCAAGCATAAAATGCTGTAATTAGGTCCTTAATTCCCAGGACAGAGGACTCATCACATTGAGGATTCAGAAAGCTACTTGGATTTTTAAATTCCCATGGAAGAAACAGTTCCCCTAGAACTGCACTCGGTCTGAAATCTGGGAAATGTGTGGAAATAATTCTGCAGGTGACTGGAATTTCATTAGGCCAGTATTATTCCAGCTCCCTGTAATACTCATCCTGCTCCTGGAATGGTCCACTTGGTGTGAAAATGCTGCTGCTGAAGTTCCTTCTGATCATCTTTAGCATGTCCACCTTAACTTTAGTGGTCACTTCTGTTGTTTTAATTCATAAAAGCACAGAACTATGGAAAACAAAGTGCCCCAGACTGGACTGCAGCAAAACTTGTGGAAAACGTGCTGGAATCTGGGAGGAATGTGCAAATGCTAATTGAGCTTTCTGCCAGGCCTGCGGGGTTGGATAATTATTCTGCTTCTCCATCTGAAAAAAAGGGGCTCTCAGAATTCCTTAGGGGTTGTGTGTGCTTCACACTCAGTGTCATGAGGCTCCAAATGAATTTTTCCAGTGAACTGACCAAGTCAGTGCTAGAAATGGAAGTAAAACCTGGATTTCTTCATTCCAGTGTCCTTCAAAGAGGCTTTTTCTGTTGCCAGCTTCCTTTAAATCCTACCAGGACACACAGAGTTTCCTCTTCTCTCTCTTTTCCCTTTTCATGTCCTAACAAAGTGACTGTGAGGAGGCAACCTGAGTGTTTGTGTGGGATGGCAAATTTAAATAAAGGTGATTTTCAGTGGATAATCTTCCTTATTAGAGCAGGTTGCTGCATAAATGTCTGCAGTGATCCCTCACTGTCTGACCTGCTTCAACCCTGAGACCTGATGATGTTTTTGTTTGTGTTCCCAGAGGAATATGAGGTGAATGCTAAGAGATATTGGGATGACTTCTATAAAATCCACGAAAATGGCTTCTTCAAGGACAGGCACTGGCTGTTCACTGAATTTCCTGAGCTGGCACCCAACAGGACCTCAAGCCAAAATGGGGATTCTCTGCATGAATTCAGTACCAAAGAAGAATCCAACAGTGAAAGGTGTGAAAATGGACATTGTTCATTGGAAACCAGGACAGGGGGTCAGTACAGCCTGCTCCAAAGCACAGCTGAGGGGTGCACAGAGGACTTGGCTGCACAGGAGCACAGGGAGCTGAACCAGAGGGCTGGAGATTACCCAGGATCAGCTGCATCTTACCGTGTGTTGGAGGTGAGAGCTGGAAAGCAGAGTCACACACCAAACTGTGCCTTGGGATCGGGGTTGTGTGACTGGGACATAAAAATATGGATCACTGCAAGCAGGGAGTGGTTGAGTGCCTTTAGTCAGCAGAATGCAGAAATCAGAGGGCAGCTTAGATCTGAACTAAATCTGCTGGGATTCCTTTGGTTCAGACTCTTGAGTTGGCAGAGCACAAGGATGTAAGAAGTTTCAGAGTTTAAAAGCCAAACTACTGCTGTCAGATGTTCAAACAAGCATTTACAAGTCATCTTTGCAAGGAACTGATTCTTTTATTTGTCTGTATAAGGTTTTCCCTTGTCATTTATCTTTTCTGTTGACTCCTGTTTGCCTTGAGAGGTGTGAAACAAAGCAGTGAAGCCAAGAATGTGAAGATGCTCTTGGGTTTGTTCCTTATGGCCCATGTGATAACAGGGAATCCCAGACTGATACAGGCTTTGTCCCAGAGAGAAGTCTGTGGGAATTATAAATACTGGACTCCTGACAGCTCCTTTTGCTCTGCCACCTCTACTTGTTCACTGTAGATACTGCTGGATTTGTTTAGTACTTTGTATTTAATGGAAGTCCTGCCCTTCCAGGGAGAGTTAGTATGAACTATCCTTTTGATATTTTAATTTAATCTGAGGTTTGGAGGCTTTTTCAGGCTTTGATATTATCACTGTGGCTTTCCTGTCTCACCTGAGCACATCTGTCCCTGCAAACCCTCAGTGGTGTTCTCTGCTCAGTCTATTCCAATTTTACTGATTCCCTAAACACTCAGAGGCAAACTCCCCAAACCCAGTTGTGGGAGCCATCATCTTCTCTTCAAATGGGAACAAGTAGAAGGAATAATAAGGCAGAATCATTGTGGGCCTGGCTGTAACTTGAGGAAGAGCCATGTAGTGAAGGAAACTCTGCAACAGCAGGATGTAATTAGGGTAAAGCAAACTTCCCTTCTCCATTGCTCTGAATTTCTGTGGAAGCAAATGTAACCCACCCCTGGCCTTTGCCAGTGTTTCAGTGACTCAGACTGGTTGTTATGCTTGGGCTTCCAGCAAAAACAGCTTTTAGAGTGTAACAATATATAGTTTGCTAGTAAGATTTTGACAAGAACTTGCTTAGTGTTTTCCACAAGAGTCATTCTGCTCCTCAGCTGAACACAGACCTTGCAGGGAGGGTTACAAATGGTCACTGCCATGCTCAGCTGGTACTGGGGAGGTTCTCTTTGTTGCCTGGCTGTAGAGAGATGATTTGAAATTATGGGATGTACTGAAGGAATTATTCTCACTGTGTGCATCTGCTTTGTTTGTGCAGGTTGGCTGTGGGGCTGGGAATACAGTCTTCCCAATTTTACAAACCAACAAGTAAGTGGTGACAGGACAAGGGGGAATGGCTTCCCACTGCCAGAGGGCAGGGATAGATGGGATATTGGGAAGGAATCCTTCCCTGGGAGGGTGGGGAGGCCCTGGCACAGGTTGCCCAGAGAAGCTGTGGCTGCCCCTGGATCCCTGCAAGTGTCCAAGGCCAGGTTGGATGGGGCTTGGAGCAACCTGGGCTGGTGGAAGGTGTCCCTGCCCATGGCAGGGGGTGGCACTGGATGAGCTTTAAGGTCCCTTCCAACCCAAACCACTCTGAGATTCTACAAAGTAGGTTTTTACCTGCATGATCCAGCAGCCCCTGAAAACAAATTGGAAAAGTGTTCTCTGTGATCTTAGTTTAAACAATCTCAGAGAAAGGCCTTTGCCACCTGCAACTTCATATTATTGTGGTCTGAGCTTGGAAATCTTTGGTCTTTTAATGCAACCAACAAAGCCTGCTGTGAGTTTACGTGTCTCATTCTGAAAGCATTTTCCTGCAGGCCTTGGTGCCTCTCCTTTTCCAGTATTGATTTGCAGATGTTAACATGGGAGTGATTTCTGCTGGAAGTCACATTTCTATTTCTGTGATACCCTTGAATCATTTTTCAGTGTGTTTTCCAAAACGTTCCATCTATCCAGGAGTAATTTACATTAAACTTGCCACGTTTTTCACATGTCTCTCCTTTAATGCAAAGGAAAGTGTAATAATAATCTAAGGGTCTATTATTAAAGTAGATTCAGTGAAAAAAATGTGACTCACTGTAAATATATACACGACATTCACATTTGCTGTTTCCAGAAGGAAAAGGAAGCAGTTGCACAGTGGGCATAAAGGAACAATGGGATCCACCAAATTTTTACACAGAGACTAAAGCCCAGGCTCCCAGTTCTGCACTCTGTGCCTTTGAGACACTCCTTAATTGCTGGCTATAAATGATGAGTTTCTCTGCTTTCTTGCAGTGACCCAGGCCTGTTTGTTTATTGCTGTGATTTTTCTACAGCAGCTGTGGATCTTGTCCAGGTAAACTCAGTGGTGATTTATGAAAAAGTGGGAAGTACCTGGGGCCAATTTCCCATTAACACAAATCTCTCCCAGCTTCCAGGAGCTCTCTGGCTGTGCTGGCAGCTTTCTGTTTTTAGCCAGCCCTGCTGCTGACCCTAAATCTGGAAAATGAGCCATCAAAGATTGTAGGAAGGAGGGAAGTTGAAGTTCTCAAAATGTCACATTGGCAGCAGACAAGTCAGGCAGATTTTCTTCCCCTGTGCTTGGCAGTACTTTTCTCAATCCAGTGCTCTTTTAGCTGAGTAACTGCTGAACCTTGAAAACATTCAGGCTATTTTTTAACAGGAACTGAAGCTGGTTTTGGTTTGTGTGTGCACTGCTGTCAGTTCTGGGAATGTGGTCTGATTGCTCCAGCACAGACTGCTGAGGAGGGAGCCTGTTTGTGGAGCAGGAGGCTGGGATTTAGTCAAAGGACAAAAGCTGCTAACAGATTTCAGGTCAGAGCAGAACTGAGAATTTAGGAAGTATCAAATGCCATCAGTCAGTTCACGAGATGAGAGAGCAGCAGAGGCAGCACCCATTTCATCCTCCTAAGGTGACACAACCACTTCTCAAAGCAGCAGCTTCAGGAAAGCACACAACTTCTTACAGAGGTCCAAATGGGATTTTTGAGAGTGCAGTTTTAGGGAGCCAGGTTTGATATTTGGGGGATAAGGAATATCTGCTTGTAGGTGAAATGAATATTGATGTCAGTGATGCAGAGAGGGGCCCTGATGCTCACACTTACATAAAGGTTTCCAATTTAACAATATAAATCCCTCACTTCTTACCACTACTAGTGGAAAATCTGACCTTAAAATTGCAATAAAGCCTGAATCCAGTCTGGGGGTTTGGCAGTGCTGATTGTCTGACTGTAACAAAACCAACTTCTTGGTAAACCTCCTGTGTGTTCTTATTTTTCCCCATGTCACCACTGTTCCTGCCCAACCCACCTGACCCCATCTGCCTTAGACCAGTGAGGCTGACACAGATCTCTGGACACACCACCTGATGATGTGAAAGTTAAAATGCTTCATGTCCAGACAATACTGAGGTCAGGGTCTGCTACTGATGCTCTTGATTTCTCTCCCCTCAAATACAGAACCATGCAGAATATGATTCCTCTCGCTGCTTTGCCTTTGTCCATGACCTGTGCAACGACCAAAGTCCTTTCCCAATGCCAGAGGAGAGTCTTGACATTGTTATTCTTATCTTTGTCCTCTCAGCAATTCTCCCAGAGAAGTAAGTTTTAATCTTTGTGATTGCAGAAGGTAATTCTTCTACAACTGCAGCTCTTTAATAGTCTCACGTCAAGTAAAATTAAAGTTTGTTGTGTTTCTGGTCCAGTTTTTCCATGAAGCCTCTGTAAATGAAGTTTACAGAGTTCACAAGCAGGTGCTTGATGCTGTAACAGGTTCTGGCAGAGGACAGGTGTGATTTTGAAGTGCTAAGTGGCTGCAGGGGGTGCCTTGCTGTGGTCACTGCTCTGAACCTCAGCCATGCTGAGCACTCAGCACCTGTTTGGAAAATACTCTGCTGGATTTTCAGGCTCAAAGGGTGGATGAATTTCTCACATGGGAGGTGGCAAGAAGGGAGGGGACAGGTTGAGAAAACAGTGTAAGACAAGTGCTGTGATCTTAGTGTGACACTGTGTTACAACCTATATTAGCCTCTCTTTTTGCTCCCTTTAGTTTTATTACACAGCATTTTTCTTCAAGTCCACTTACTACTTTTTTATACATAAACCAGGGGAGATCTTTTTGTGATCAGTAAAGGAGAGCAGTTAACCCCTGCCGTGGCAGGCTTGTTATCCTTGTAGGAAAAAAATACCCCAGAATCAGGGAGTGTCAGAAATAAAGAGGCCAAATCAAATCCACCCACTTGAGACTGGGAGAGCTCAGAACCGTGCTGGCTTCGGGTCGCTCTTTACATGAAGTTGAAACATCCATACCCATATATCGAGTTGAAACTTCACCCCATCTTTTTGGAAGGGAACAAGCCTGATTTTGCAGGATGTTGAGCACTCCTGGTTTGTTCCTCCCTCAGGATGCAGAGCGTTGTGAGCAGACTGAGCCGCCTCCTGAAGCCAGGGGGGATGATTTTGTTACGGGATTACGGACGCTACGACCTGGCCCAGCTTCGGTTTAAGAAAGGTATTTTCCCTCTTCCCTTGGCAACTCTGGCCACATCACTGGTAGATGATGCTTCTCTGGAGCTGTGTCTGCCCTGGGTGGAGGCAGCTCATTAATTCCCTGGAAGCACAGAGTGTGCCCGTTGTTGGATGGCGGTTGTTGATTTTTAAGTGATAGTTGGTAACTGTTTAAATCCCTCTTGCCCTCAGGTCAATGTCTGTCTGAAAACTTCTATGTGAGAGGTGATGGCACCAGAGTCTACTTCTTCACACAAGGTAGGAGGCTTGAAAACATCCCTTTGACTATCCAAAAACATCCCTCTGACAATCCAAAAACATCCCTCTGACTCTCCTCACCGCTTCTTGTCCCTCTGCCCTCAAGTTTGGCCACAAGCTCTTTGCAGTCTGTCTTTCTTGGAGCACTGTTAAGTGTCTCCTAATTGAACCTGGGTTTGTCAGTTCCTGGTGCAAGTATGGTGAACTCCTTAGTGGAAAATCCTTTTAGAGAAAAACTGGAGTGTTTGCTCCCCTGGGAGGGGTGAGATTGGAGGAGCTCTCCTTGAATCTTGCCTGTGGGTGATGGAGGGAGTTGGACACCACTTGGAGGAACTTCCCTTAATATTTCTGTTCTCCTATGAGGAAATCAGAAGGGTGTGGCTCAGCATGGAGCTGAGGCACCCTTCAAGTTCTGTTGCTGCTTGGTGTTGGCAGGGGTGTGTTGTTCTCCCAGTTTATCACCAGTTGCACCTCCAGTCCGTGCCTGGTCAGCGTTCGAGCAGGGGCACAACTGCATCGAACTGTTCCCTTCCCCACTGCTCCAGTCTTGTTTGTCGCAACAAAATTAATGTTTAATGTGTGTTTGGCAAGCACCTCACGGTGGAAAGCATCTGATAAAGGAGCACAAGCTGGGACCTGTCAACCCTTTCCTACAGAAACTCCACACAAACCACGTGCTCCTGGGCTGCCGTGGAACGAGCTCCCTGCTGCTCAGCAGGACTGGGGCTGGCTCTGCCCACAGCCACTGTGCTGGGGCACTCTGAGACTTATTTGCTTGGTCAGGAATACCTGCCCGTGGAAGTGCTGAAGCCTCCAGGGCTGTTAATGCTTTGATTGGGCCCCAACAGGGTGTGGTTTTTAAGGATGTTTTTTTCCCCAAATTTAGCCTTAATGAATCCCATTCCCCTCCAGCCTATACAGCACAGATCTTACTGCCACCATTTAAAGGCGTAGGTCTGATCCTGTTCTTTGCTCTTGCAGACTCTGAAATTCCTCTGGAGGGGGGAGGAAGGGGAAGGAATGGATCTGTCCCTACTTGTCAGAAGATGCTCCTTAATCAGTTACTGGAGGCAGTGTCCATGTGGGAAACTGCTGCTGTTTTCTTTGTCAAGTTTCTGTAACTCTAGCTGTACTCCAAATTCTTCTTTCCTTCCTTGCTGGAAGGAAAACTTGACAAACTGTAATGTTAAACCTCCCTGGAACAGCAGTTAAGTCTCGTTTGATCATTTCCCTGCCAGGGTGAGGCCCTGAGTTTCTTCTGGCCCATCTTTCAGCACAGCCCAGCCCTCAGCGTGAGCAGCTGTCAGTTAAAGGAATTACAGCCTCCTCAGTGTCCTTCTCTCTGCTTCCAGATGAATTAAACCACCTCTTCACCACGGCTGGGCTGGAGAAGATCCAGAACGTGGTGGATCGGCGGCTGCAGGTGAACCGTGGGAAGCAGATGACGATGTACCGGGTGTGGATCCAGTGCAAGTACCGCAAACCCGGCACCCCCCGGGCCTGAGGCACGGCCTGGGCTCTGGGGCTGGAGCCTCTCCGTGCCCAAGGAGTGTCTCCTCCTGGTGAGACGTGGTTTGATGGAGTCCTGCACACCCAGGACTCCTCAGTGCCTGGCGTCACTGCGAGTGAGTTCTGCCAAGGACGAACGCCCTGAGAGTGGACCGAGGGGTGGTTTAGGTGTCATAAAATATACTGAGTTGGAAGGGAGCCATCAAGATCATTGAGTCCAACTCCTGGCCCTGCACAAGACGCCCCAAGAATCCCACCACGTGCCTGAAAGTGTTGTCCAAATGCTCCTTGAACTCAGACAGCCCTGGTGCTGTGCCCACTGCCCTGGGGAGCCTGGTCAGTGCCAACCACCCTCTGGGGGAAGAAGCTTTCCCTGAGATCCAACCTGACCCTGCCCTGTACAGCTCCAGCCATTCTCTCAAGTCCTCTCACTGGTCACAGGGAGCAGAGATTGGTACCTGCCCCTCCACTGCCCCTCATGAGGAAGCTGCAGACCCCAGTGAGGTCTCCCCTCAGTCTCCTTTTCTCCAGGCTGAACAAACCAAGTGCCCTCAGCCTCCTCATAAGGCTTCCCCTCCAGACCCTTCCCCATCCTCATGGCCTCCTTTGGACTCTCTAATGGCTTAGTGTCTTTTTTTTATATTGTGTCCCCCCAAACTGCCCCAATGTTGAGGTGAGGCCACCCCAGGGCAGAGCAGAGCAAGACAATCCCCTCCCTGATGCCCCCAAGACGGGGTTGGCCCTCCTGGCTGCCAGGGCACTGCTGACTCAGGGCCAACTGGCACCCACCAGGACCCCCAGGGCCCTTTCCCAGCTCTGTTTTCCAGCCTCTTCATTCCCAGTCTGTCCATCCATCCTGGGTTGCCCCATCCCAGGGGCAGAATCCAGCACCTCCCCTTGTTGGAATTCCTATGGTTGGTGATTCCCAGCTCTCTGATTTGTGGAGGTCTCTCTGCAAGGCCTCCCTGCCTTTGAGGGAATCAACTGCTCCTCCCAGTTTAGTATCATCAGCAAACTGAAGTGTTCCTTCAAAGCCCAGCATCCAGGTCATTAATGAAGATGTTGAAGAGAACTGGGCTGAGGATGGACCAGCAGCTGAGCAAGATGAGTAGCAAGTCACTCATACTCTGGATTTCCACATGAAACAGGAGAGCTGTGACCTCACCTCTGTCTTGTGTGCTCGTGTCTCGTGAACAGAGAACATACAAAGGCACTAAATCTGCTCTTCTCTGCAGCTGGTCACTGCTATGAATCCCTTGGCCAGCTTATCTCATGCAGTTCTCTTCTGGTCATTCAGGTTTGTGCCAATCCACAAGTTCAAACACATTGATCTGAGGGCAGGAGCTGAGACTGTGAGAGTTTCTCTGTGCCAGCTGCCCCTGGATGCCCCAAGGTGTGCAGATCACCTGTGGAGAAAGGAGATGCTGCTGCTTTGCCCTCACTGTCCACAGGGGTGTCCACCCAGGGAACCAGCACACCACAGCTCAGCTGCTGAAAATTCCTGTCAGGCAGGATTCAAGTTTTCAAAGATTTAGGGCTGATGCCAGTTTGGGGGCACCTTCAGAGTGCAGCATATCAGAAGCAGCCCATGGGACCAGGGTTTATAAATAATTACCTGCTTTTTCTGCTGGTCACAAACTGCCCTGTCATGGTGATGTGCCAAACCCAAGCAGACAAGACACTTGTCTTTGATCCAGAATCTGCAGAATATTTAATTTCTGCACTCTTGTTTAATTCCTTAGAGGAAGCCAACATTGTGGCTTTGTGGAGGTATTTCCCCACCTTTGACAGCAAATATCTTTTATCTCAGCCTGTTTTCTTTTGTTATTTTTAGGGTGTGGTACAACAGGTATTAGAATAAATTTTGTGGTCATGCTTTTCAGTGCTGGTTTGATTAATATAAATCAGGCTTGCACAGAGCACCTGATCTGAAGGATTAGGGCCACCAACAGGTAACTATAGTTTTCTTTACTGTTACCATGAGTCTCACTAGTGCCTGCCCTCAGCTCTGAAGAAGAGAAAGCCTTGGCTGGTATCTCCTACCTTGTTTTAGTTCATGAAATAACAACGTGTTGGTTGTGCAGCACTGGCTGAAGAGCAGTTCCTGTGTGCTTTGTCAGCCAGACACTTGTGTTTGGAGCCTGCAGTTGCCTAAGAGTAACTGCCAGCTCTGGAGACATGGAGGTTATGAAATAACTGCTGTCTTGAACCAGAGGAGAAAGGGTAAAAAGCTGAGGAAATGTCATTTGTGCCTTTGGAGAGTCTGCAGGAGCACTGGAGAGACGGAGCAGGAACACCCTGCTTTGGGAAGCACTGGAAGGGGCTGGAGCAATGCTTCCTGCTGGGCATGTGGCTGCATGAGGAGGTCCTGACTCCTGCAGCACTGTGTCACCCTGCAGGTATTGCTTTGTCTGCTACCTGAAGGCTTCTAGGTGGGACTTTTCAGCCCTTCCTGGGAAAGGTGACCCAGGGAATCCACTCACACCACGAAGGCTGCAGTGGGAATGCACCGTTGCTTTTTTATGTATCCAACTTTTTTATGTATTCAGTAATGTTGAAAGGGAGTCACGTAACTGGGAAGAGAATTCTTGGTCAGTTGGTTGTCCTGCATTTTCTAAAGGGCCAAGAGCCTTTCCAGCACCTGCAAATGAAAGAGGAGGAGATAAAGCTTTGCTCTTCCAAAGCTCCTTTGGCTTCTGCCGGGCACAAACCCGACCCAGCCCAGGAGCTGTGCAGTCACTGCTGTGTTTTCATGCTAAACTTCCCAAGTCTGGTTCCCTGGCAAGGCTGGCACCTCAGGCAAGGTCTAGGCAAAGCACAGCTCAAGGCCTCTGGCAGCAGCTGAGCAAGCTCAAGTCTCCTCAGCTTACCCAGGCTCAGAGTCAGGCTTAGCAAGAGTCCTGTGAGCCTTGGACGTGCCGTGACTCATGTCCCAGCTCGGTGACAGACCTCCCATGTGTTCCTGGGGCCTCAGGCAGCTCCCTGGGGTCCTTTCCCTCTTGGTCTCTGGAGGGAGGTCTCGTCCCAGGATGGCTTTATCTCCCTGGAAGAAAAATTATTGACTGGGGTAAACAAGCAGCATAATTAATGCAAATTAAAATAATGTGAAAAATGCCTTATTAATCATCCAAAGGCTCGTAAGCAGTGCAGGAAAATATGTTTTTAATTATAAACATGATTTATGTAAAGTTGATGGACCTCCCCTTTAAATTTAAACTCCAGAATGGGAGAAAATGAAGGCTAGTAATTTATTTGTTTCTACTTTCAAGGCTACCTCCCAGTTGCCTGCCTGGCTTTGACTTGGGCTTCATGCAAAAACTTGCAGTGCTGCGAGCCTGGAGCCACTGAAGTGGCTCTTTGCCTTTCTTAATGCTCTTCATCCTGCTGGAGTATTTAAGCAATCACTCAGCAGGGCCCATGCTGGGCAGACGTGCTTTTGTTTCCAGTGCTCTTGGTGGTGTTCAGAAAGCAACAAGTTAATGGCCTTGAATTGAGCCAGGCCTCCTACAGACAGACACTGTCTGAGTTTCCCTCATTAATCCGGGCCTGCTCCCCTTCCCGCTGAAGCTGCTGCTCTCCTGTCGGGTACCTGAGTCCTGACTTGCAGCAGCTCCTGCCATTCCCACCTCGGCCCTGCTGAGCCAGCTGGGTTGCACAACCCCTTCCAGCACATTCAGAGGAAATCTCCAAACTGACTTTTGCCGTGCTGAAAAGCCACGTGAAGTGCCTTTACTTGGTTTCGGGTTTTTCCCCCCTCCCTCTTCCTTTTTAGCAGAGCAACATTAACTTTAAAAGCCTTTCTGAGCCTATCTGCTCTGGTTTTGTTCCCAGCATTCCAAGGCCTGTGGTCTGTGGCTCACAGGCAATGCCAACGTGGCCTGTTGAACCTCCCAAGCAGAAGAGATGATTTCATAGCTCTTCACTGGCACTGCCCTGGTGAGTCTGGAGCCAGGCATTGTTACCCTTTGGAAAGTCTGGTCCTGGCTCTTGCCAGAGGATGGTGGATTTCCTTGGAGATTCCAAGATTGTTTTGGCTGGAAGGGAACTTTATCACCACCTATTCTGACCCTTCACATAACCCTTTCATGTAGGGATTAGGGCATCAAGCCTGTGATTTGGACTTGGAACTAGTCCTTCAGAAAGGGTTTTGATCCAGCCATGATGCTGAGGGCTCCAGTCCATGGCAAAGAACCCTTTGCCTCCCCAGGTACATCATTCCTCTCCCAGCATCCTGATTTCACAGGTGGGCCAGAAATTGGAAGGCAGGAGGGAACAGGGGAGGTGAAGAGAACAAGGAGCTGGGGGGTATTTCTGATGCTGTCCCTTCCAAAATAAGTACATTGTAAAATGCACTGAAAATTGGAGCTTTCTCGGGATCTTCCTGACAGCACAGCAAAGTGGGAACAGCAGTTATTTGTGGTGATTTCAGTGGTTACAACAGTAACCATCAAATTCTTCTGACCAGGGGCGTGTGAGACCAGACACAATTGTCTTCTCTCCACCTTCTCAGGGAATGCCACCACCATTTGTGAGTTGTAGAGCTCAGGATAAATGAGACCTGAATGATTTCAACAGAACAGGGCTATGAGCAGAAGGAACCTCCATGTGCACACACCAGCAGCTTTTGGCACTGCATCCTAGTGGAAGCTGGAAGAGCTTCCTTCTGTCGTTGGCGTTGGGATGAGCCCCAGCTTGTCCCCACTGGATTCCCGCTGGGAATCACAGACCTGAACTGTTTTTCCTGAGCACAAATGAAAGATGCACAGGTTCAGTGCCCAGAAGTGAGGGTGAGGCTGCAGGGATCAGGCTGTTCAGGGATTTGGGGAGCATCCTTCCATCTCTAAACACAGATGGGGGGAAACCGAGTCAGGCAGTCTTTGTTCTCCTGGTCCATCAGCTGGATCTCATCTGTCAGTCAGAGCAGTGCCACCACTTCTGGTTTGGTGCCACCTTGGGGGAAATTAGTCCAGGAGAGGATCCACAGTGAGGATCACTTTTGCTATTGTAGCTGTTCCTCTGCCTTGACAGGGGGTGGCTGGCACATGTCCTTGTGTGCAGTGTCCTTAGACACTGATACCAACAGAACATTCTGATTTTAACTGTGTTGTCACATATGTTTTCAGGGCAAGATAAAAATTACTAGAAAAGTGAGGACTAGGGAGGAATTTTTGGAGGACTCTCCTGCAAAGTGAGGTGCT